TGGCCATTTATTAATGCTTCGGTATCGGAGGATTAGTTTGATAGGAGCAAGCCTGGATTGGGAAATAGATGTCGGCAAAAAAATCTCTTCTTCCGTCACTACAACCCCGTAGGTAAATCAATCTACCTTATTCATGGATTTGTTGCTTCACACCAATTTAAACTGAACCTCTCAGCCGAAAAACCGAACACCCCAGGACCCCTTCACATTTTTACTCCCAAAAAACGCAAATGAGAAGCACACCAGGCTTAAATAAGTTAGTAAATTCAGTTAACTTTTATGCTGATTGTGCATAAAAAACGTCTCCGGCAGGCAGTGTGATTGCGTACCGACTGGAACTACCGTAAGCTCACGCCTAAATACGAAGGTTACTCTTGATTACAATTATGTGGGCCTCTTCGGAACAAACGAAACTAATTGAAAAACTCGAAGTGTTTAAGCTCTCATATAGGTTAGATCAATTATCGGCAGAACGATTCCTCGTGTCGTCTGGATCCCCTTGCGTACATAACAATGTTATGCTCATTTATAGGATGATCTTTTACTGATTCAGTGGGTCTGGTCAGCTATAATGGCGGTGCTCAGTACGTCTGCTCAGTGACAGAGGAAATTTTAATAGAAATACTTCACCCAATACCATTAATGTCACTCTGTTCTCACTAGAGAGACAGATGTTTTCGGGAGTTTGCCTCATAGGAACAATTTTTTACGAGATGTCTTGCGTCATTTACAAAAGGCCATTTGTTATCCTCATCCTCTTAGGCACCATGCATTCGGATTCCATTTCGAAGCGGTCTAAACGACGAATTGCGGTAGCCTGCCGGTGTACAAGTCACAGTTTTTATCTTCCGAAACGGGTCTGACACCAATCAGACGACTCTGGAGGTTTAGAAAGTTTTGTTAGTTTGGGCAAGCACCCATTCGTTACTCGATCCCTAGATTACGTTCGTGTAGTAGTGCGCTGCGTGCCATTACACTAACTTCGTACTTAGAATTTCAGAAACTGTGAACCTATGATTGCGTACTGGCTGGAATTCATTCTGAAGGGAGCCAGTCAAGCATCAAGTTAGGGGTCCCCATCCTCCCAGAGCGGAAGAGAATCCCTGAAGATGCAGGGTAAGGCGGATCTGAACGTAAATAGGTACTGAGCTATTATAGATCTTTGAACTGTCTTCGAATTGGGTGGTATCGACCACACTTGGCACTATTCCACACAGTTATGATCGGATTATCGAAGAATTCATAATCATTCTGAGCAAAATACTGTAATCAGTAGTTCTATGCTGGAATTCGTCTAAGTCAGGTTCATTGTCTACATATCGTCACGATGGACTGGTATCTTCTATTCCTCCCTGCCATTGGTTTACAAGTATGGAGTGTAGAAGCGCAGCGTAAGCCTTTTGAAACCTTACACTTAGAAAAGAATGGAGCTTATGACAGCTGCCAACCATGAAAACAGTAGTTTAAGTTAACAACCCATAGGTATTAGCTTACCGCTTACAAGCCGTTCCCCAAATAGTCAGTTTCGAGTAGTGTTCATAGTCCGCGTTGTCGCGGAAGTGCCAAAAGTGACAGGTGCGTAATGACTGATGAGCTGGGAATCAATCAATTCCTATGTTATCTCTTCGCGTTGGGCTTCTCTGGTGAGCGATCTCCTGAACCATCTCCTTTTTTGACAAGGTGCTGTGAATGGTAGTTCGAGCTTGAGTCAAATGCTTTACCGATAGTTTTTCAGCTTGCACAGAGCTCGAACAATTCGTGAACATTGGGCATGTGGTCAGTTACAATATTGATTTTTGAAAATTCTTGGCTACTTCGAGATCATAATTTGGGGTGCGCTTCGTTGCGCGTGTCCGTCGAAACTAGGTCACGCCGCAGCCGTCGCACGCGGCGAGTCGGCCCGCGATATTTGACAGACGTCGCAATTGTCACTGGGGCATACGCTTTGCGTTTGGTCCACGGCAAACAGTTCAAGAAGAAGATAACACAGACAAATGCGAATCATTTGCTCCAATGACACTTGGTGGTACTGTAATGTCATCTCGAGACCTCAGTGTGATGCGCCGCGCGCGAAGTGGGCGGGGTGACCTACTTTCGACGGACACGCGCAACGGACGTTCTCCATAATTCTGATATTGGTTATTACAACTAAGTAGGTCCGAAATGGGAAGTAAAGTCAGAAGTAGGTACTTTCACACAGCAGTGGGGATGATGACAGAACGAACATCCACATGTTCAAACGCTGCTCCACCCTTAGCTGCCTTCATAGTCCGCGGTTCGGCCAGCGAGCGAGCGACTGGGGGACTACTCGTCCTGCGGTTTCGACCAAGATTCGGTTGTAAACAAGGGGCATGCGCCGTCCCCGGTCAAACATGCTGTGTTGCACATGCAAACCATGCCGCATATACACGCCCATTCGGAGGCGGAACTAGCAGTGAAGGCTGAAACGAGCACCATTGAGATCGAATATGTATGTCCTAATTTTTGCCTTATGAATCTACACATCACCTCTGAGGGGAATGATTTAATGGATACTCTGGATGAGGGGGATCGTACGAGTTGCAGCCATAGAAAAGGGAAGAGATTAGAAAAGGATGAAAGCAAACAAGTTTGATAGTCTAATAACTTACAGTTAGTGCGGCGAGAGAATCTAGGTGTGGCCCTAGAATTTGTTGTAAATAGGGTTCACCAACAAACTCAAGAGTCTCTTGGCCTTTTCTGGGCCCTACCAATCGAGGGCGGGGCAAAGTCAGAGGGTCATCTTACACGTGAGGCGAGGAAGGGCTAGGGTGGAATCGACTCGTTCTCCTTTTCTGTCACCTGAACCTTACCTCGGTACCTCTTTGGCATAGCTAAGTGATCGTATTTCCTAGTGAACACTACAAGGACCTGTTTGATGTTGGTAGAGATAGAAAATTCAGTGCTCCCGAATCCTTGATCACTTAATTGCTGGTTTTTAGTTAAGTATGTGTAAAGGAAGCGAGGTACTGGGAAGTTTATCAAATGAATATATTTTCGAAGCGAACATGCTGAATGAGCACGAGTTTAACGAGTTATTCGAAAACGTCATAGAGGTAATAGCTTTCCTTTTTAAAAATAAAAGTGAGATATTGGGGTCCTAGATGGAAAAGGTAAGAAATGCAGCATATGGTGAAGTGACGGCTATTCACTTGTGGGCCACTTACTAGGTTGATGAATGTTCGATGGTTCTCGGAGGTTACCTTCATAGTCATTGTCAGAAGACCTTTGGCTCCAACATATGTCAGAAGGAGCAAGTTTTGGTCCAGGGAAGACTTTCAGGAAAATCTGTATCTTCCTTGTAGGGAGAGTGAGGAAGTGGGTATAGATAAGAACTGTTAA